GAGGGAGGCGAGGGGAAGGCGACCTGCAGAAAGTTCGCGCGGCGGGGGACGGCCGGGGGGCACTCGAGGGGAGGAGGATGAAGAGGAAGAGGAAGGATGAAGAGGAAGGCGCCTCTCAGGAGCTGGAGAGGCCGATGCCCACCGCGGGGAGCTGCACCTCCCTCGGCGCCAGCGGGCGGGGAGCCGGGAGGAGGCGGGATCGGGGATGCGGGATGCGGGATGCGGGATGCGGGATGCGGGATGCGGGGCGGCGTCGCCCCAGGCGCTTTAAAGGCCGGCGGGCGGCGGGGGCGGCGCGGCGGCGGCATGAGCGAGGTGAAGGTGGCCGTGCTGGGCGGCAGCGGAGCCGGCAAGTCGGGTAAGGGCAGGGCAGAGAGGCAGGGGAGGGCTCGGGTTTGGTGGAAGGGGAGGCACAGCCCCGCTCATGCTGGCTCTGCTTCCCTCCCGCAGCGCTGGCGGTGCGGTTCCTGACGCGGCGCTTCATCGGCGAGTACGCGTCCAGCGCCGGTGAGCGGCTCCGCGGGCAGGGATGCAGGGATGCAGGGATGCAGGGATGCAGGGATGCAGGGATGCAGGGATGGAGGTTTTTCCCCCCAGGCGTCTCAAGCGCTAATTTGATGGGAGATTTGGGTAAAGCCGCGGTGTCGCAGAACTTTCCGGCGTGATGGGAGTTTCCCCTCGGGAGGTTCTGGTGGGGTGTGAGCGCTGGGGAAGGGGGAAAGGGCGAGCACGATGCTGGGGAGGGATCGCTGCTCTCAAAGCGCCTGTGGAGAGAGGGCTGCGAGTAGAGACGAGGGTGGGGTATGGTCAGCTCGATCAGAGAGAGCAAAGGAATAGACAAAAAAACCCCAAAACATCACCTGTTCTACCGAATATCCCCTCCTCGGCTCCACGGGAGAGGGCAGACCGATCATTTATTGGCACGGGTGGTCAATCAAAGTATAACGAGAGGCCCCCAGCGAGGCAGGGAGGCGCTGCTTTGGTGGCTTTGAGGAAAGCCTGGCTGTACACAGAATTAAATGTAACTTCGAATATGCCGATCGTTCAAACACTTCTAAGTGTTTGAACTTGGAAAGTGGCAAAGCAGGACTTGGACTTTTACATCCCGAGTAGAAATACCGTTCAGCTTATACACAAATAACTTTAAAAATGTGCTGCCATGCTAGCTGATGTAGCAGAAGTCCCAAAACTTAACGAGGCACAGAGATTGCCCTCTACTGCACTCTCCCTTGCTAAAAGATTCTCTCCACACTTCCCCCCGCTCCCCAGGAATCAGAGTAGCTTCTATTGATCTGTAAATAACAAAAAAAAAAAAAAAAAAAAAAAAAAAAAAAAAAAAAAAAAAAAAAGAGTTGAATTGCATTGAATATATCCAAATGAACTTATTCGGAAGGAAGAGCTGCAATTGTACATGTGTTCTCTACCATACAAACACAGATTGAGCAGTTTGTGTCCCAGCTGGCTGCTCTAAGTCTAAGCTACCACATGTAAATTATGTGCTCTCTGTGATTTGTGTGTGCTCCAAGCCACCTGCAACCAAAACCAGGTTCTGTTCTCAGCCTCCAGTACTGTGAGGCATGTAAAAGCCATGTCAAACCCCCAGAACATTTTCATTTTTTAACAAGTATTTGTTGGAAGATAAGTTTAGCACTGTTTCTAGAGATGGGGAAATTGGTAAGACTGGGGGCGGGGGGGGGTAAAATAAAGATCATGCCACTATTAGTGGAGTCAAAATAATAATTAAAAGTTTATTTAATTAAATTAGCAAGCAAGGGGCTGTGGATTTTATACGCTGAGATACTTGGGACTGATAGTTTTTCATCAGATGAATTCTTAAGATGAGCAGGAAGAATGCTGAAGATGCTGAGTTCCAGAGATCACAGAGGTATCCCTCATTACAGTTTTAAGTGTGTTTTTTGTAGTGTCAACACCAATTCTTGTTCCTGTAGTTCAGAAAATGAAAAATTATAGTGTAGAAAGCCTGTTGGCAACCACAAACTGGTTCCACTTGCTCAGAACATCCTGCTGCTTTAAATAGTAGTGATGGTGTGTCTGCAGTAGAGTTCCCAGTGTTGCCAGGGCTGGTTGAGAGTCCTAAATCTGAGACACTGCAGAAATATTTTTGGACTAGATCCTAAGGACACAGTCCTGTAAATACTCTTGGTCTAATGCTGCCTGGTATGAGAACTCTTAAAGAACCAGAAGCCATGGTAAATAAATATTATTGCTAAATAACGACTTTTGTGCAGAATCAGAGCTGCACATTTTATAATCCTGAGCCCTCATATCAAGCTGAATGATGATCAGCATTTAGCTGATTGTGAGGATTGTGAATTCCCCTCCATTTTGGGAGAGGAAAAACAGGGTCTGAAAGTATTCACTCACCAAGACTTCAATGGGAACACCACAGTGAAATATGTTGGTCTGCCTAAAGGGTTGATTGGTGCAAAATTCAATAGTTTTGTTGCCAGTGTGTGCTCAGAAAAAAGCCAGGCAACCAGCCAACAAAACCAAAACCACCAAAAAAAAAAAGGCTTCCCTAACAGCCTTCCTTATCTGCAAAGAAACCAGATCAGTGACAAAAGATTCTACATGTCTTGAGAAACCAGTCAAATAACCAGTATTCAAGGAATCCTCAGTATTATCAAATTTCACTGTTGCCTTTTCTTTTCGCTGTCATCCCCAGTCAGTAACACTGATTTTCTTTGGATAATATCTATCTGTTAGAATGCATCTACACGAAACACTTGTGCCTGGATGGGAGGCAGATACACCTGGAAATTTATGACCCTTGTTCACAGGTAAGAATTTAGCAGGAGGAGGGCAAAGAAAAGCTGTTCTTCATTACCTGTGTATATGGTAAAAAGGGGCAAGGGGTTACAAACATCTGGTTGTTGGAATTTGTGCCTGCTGGTTTTTTTTAAAGACTGAAATTTTGTAGTTGCTGGGGCTTGGAACTACTGAGTTCTTTCCCATTTCATCAACAAAACCCTTCCTTGCTGACATTTTCTGCAAATAGATTACTATTTTGGAATAACAGTAAGAGAAATAACTTATGGCTTTTATTTTACATAGATAAATACAGAGATAAATTATTGGATTACATGGAGTTTTCTCAAATACCCTGAAGGAATGAAATTCAGCTTATAAAGCAAACAGTTTATTAAATGGCTGCACAAATGGTCAAAGTACACAGGCCTGGAAGTAAGGCTTGCATTCACAGAACAATTTCCTTTTCCCAGGAAAGCCATAATGCACATTGACAATTAAAATCTAACCACAGTAAATCACTCTGAAATAAAGTTTTGTATTAATTTACTTAATTTACAGGATTAGAGAGACTCAGGTACTGTGCAGCATATGTTTGTGCTAGCACTCTCTGAGCTGTCTATACTCATTTTTTTCCCCCTAGGAACAAGGCCGAACTTTAGCCGTTTAGCAAAGTAATTTTTTTTTTTTTTTCTCTGATCAGCTTCCAGTTTTTTAAATCTATTTTAGGTCCTATGGTCTTGCTAGCTGCTGCCAAGTCATGTGCAGGGAAAAGTTAATTTTAAATAGTTTTGAAATGACACTCCTTTGCTTAATGGGACAGTTTAAAGCTGTTGCTTTCTGGAAATCAGAAGTGTGGCAGTTTCTTGGTGTGAAGAGAGGTGAGGATTAGTATAACCCTATTATCACTCAAGTGACTTTAGTCACTAGTTTTATTCAACTCAACTGCAGATTGAAAGAACATTTTTTTCCCTAGCTCTTCAGAAATTTAACATATGGGTAATTAGTGTTTGAAACATGAACAATTCAAAGAGGAAAGAAAACAAATGAAAATCATTATGTTTACTATAGTTAGAACATTAGGAACAAGCAAATCAGAGCTATAACCACAAAACACACAAATGTTGATGGCTCCTGTATGTTTCACTCTCATGTAACCCTGCAGAATATTGAGCATAAGCAATGGCTGTACAGTTTGTGTAATTTGACTGCTTAAACCTAGTGCAAATGTTTCACAATGAACTTGTCAGTGATCCAAAGTGCCATTTTTGATGCCATTTAAGGCTCTAGGAGCGGCACTAGCCTGATGGCAGCACCTAAACCTATTAAATATCTTCTGCACTGAAAGTTACTGTGTTCTCGCATTCACAGCGACAGACAAAAGGCTCTGGAGTGACAAGAGTAACATTCTTTTTCCATGTACTTTTGAACCTCTTTCAGCCCCAGCAGGGGAAGCTCTCCCTGACAGATGAGCTCCACTGGGCTGATGGCTTTATCATTGTTTATGACATCAGCGACAGAGCATCATTTGCCTTTGCAAAAGCACTGCTCTACAGGATCCGAGAGTCTCACATAGGAGTTTGTAAAAAGTAAGTGGCATTATTTATTTTTTTTTCCCCTCAGCAAACATAGAGAAAAGCTGATAACTCTTTTGTGAGCATGCAGCAATTAAAATCCAGCAGTATTGAAGTGATGTAACTCAATGCCAACAAGGTACCTGAGGGTAAAATGTGTGGCAGAGTACAGTGTATTTTACTGTATCCAAAACCAAGTACATCAGTATTTTTGTTCTTATTTCTTATAAAACTAGTATTTAAATTATGGCCATAAACATTTCTGCTGTGATTTACATGGGTGAAAAAGCCTGGCATAGTCAGTCTGTGCTTTTACTCTTTCACTCAATTATCAATGGAGATATACAAATACAGGAGCTGAAAAAAGCATTTCCCACAATAAAGGAAAGTAGTACCACAAATATCTCCTAAAGTGCCCTTGGTGGTGACCCCAATATTATTTGTACACATGGGTGACGATATGGAAAGAAAGTACTTTAAAAAAAAGAATCACCAGAAGTGCAGGTGTGAGTGTGGATGGGCGTGTGTATTCCTGCATCAGTCAGCTGAGGTGCTTTCTAAATAAAAGAGTGAAATCCTTTACCTGTATCAGAAGTGGATTAAAACCCCCATTTTTTGTCTGTTTTACTGCTGATTTTTCTTAATTAAGGTTAATTTCTGAAAGGAATAATTTTAGCAAAAGCTTGGAATTAGATTTCCTGTGTTTCCTTTTGAGTTATGCCACTAACACTGAGGTATCTCTCGGACTCTGTTCTGTTACCTGCAAATGGAGATAATGATCAGGTTGCTTCTTAATGAAGTCCAGGTGCTGACAATATACTCAGCAGCACAGAGCATGAAACAAGGAGTGGATTAAAAAAATACACTAATTCTTTGAGTAGAGAAAACAAAAATTAAATCTACTGGTAGAGAATAGCTTGTCTGGAAAATCCTTTCACAAATGGAAAACTAGAATTCTTCCTGGCAAGGTGAGGGGGCTGGTTAGTTCATTTTGGTTTTTTCGCAGTGCCTGTTACCCTGAACATACATACTTTTCATACACACTGAATTTAGCACAGCACATGACAGCATTGTACATATCTTTTCTCTAACTGGAACCTTTTCCATTTCAGAATGGTCGAGTCATCAATATTTTTGGTTGGCAATAAACAGGATCTATGCCACATGAGGGAGGTTGGCTGGGACGAAGGACAGAAGCTGGCAATAGATAACAAGTGCCAATTCTGTGAACTGTCTGCAGCAGAGCATTATCAGGAAGTTGTGGCCATGTTCACCAAGGTGCTGAGGAGCATCACTGCCAATTTCAAAGTGAAGGAAAAGAGACGACTGAGCGGTTCCAAGTCAATGGCCAAGTTAATCAACAATATGTTTGGGAAGAGAAGGAAATCTGTGTAAGAGATGGTTAGTCTTGAAGTTGGAACTTCAAGCTGAAATAATGGAGCTGAGCTCTTGGGATTCACTGAATTTCCTCCCAAGGTTAATATGTGGAGGAGTAAGACAGTAGAAACCAAAGGTGGGAGATAGTATGGTCTAGACCTAGAAGACCTGACCTTGTATTTCAGTTCTTCTGCAGATTTACTGTATAGGGCAGTGCCATTTAAACTGTAAGCTGCTCCAGGGAAGAGGTTTAGTCTGTATTTATTCAACACCAACATGGTCTTGGATAGAGCTTCTAGGTGAAACTGAGGTATAAACAGTCATTTCACAGACTCACTTCTATTGGAAAGTACCCTTAAGTCATCAAATCCAGCCATTAAGCAAACACTACCAAGTCTGCCACTAAACCATGCCCCTAAAGTGCCACCCACAAAATATCCAGTAAACTCAGCATTGCTGATCAAAATCTTACTTCAGAATTCTAGTTTATTTGTGTGTGTGCAAGAGCATTTGCACTAAAGAAAAACAAAAGTACTGCAGCTTCATGTGGTAATGTGTTTGTATTTAACTCAGGTCCTTGTGTGCCTTACACTTGCTGAAATTAATATGAATTAAATGCTTAGACACAAAGTCTACAAAAGGTATTTACCTGCAAAGCTGCCTTGTAGAGGCACCAGAAGTAGGGAAGCAGATACTGAAACAGGAGGCAATAGTGCTTTATGTATCTCTTTTTTTTTATTCCAGGAGTGATGAGAGAAAGTAGAGAGGGTTGAGGAGTGTGGGAGCTGAAATGTTAGTGAAATGTTAATCAGTGAGCACTGGTTTGGCAAGGTTATTGTTGAGTGAAAGAATTTTACAGCAAGGGCCAGCATAAGGCTTGGGCTGATCCCTTCCACAGAGCAGCTTTTTTAAGCTTTAACAAAAGCTTCATTAGCTGCAAGATGGGTGTGACTGCGCAATCTCAGATGGCAGCAGAAGCTTGGAAGGCACATGGACTGGTAAAGAGCACAAGTTCTTTAGGATGTCTGCCTGGATCTAAAGGTCAGCCTGCTGGTAAGACCTGTGCTCACAGAGAGTGTTTTTCCTAATAACCAATGTCCTTACAACTACTCATCGCTGTGGTGTTGAAATGCCACAGAGAGAACACTGAGTACTGCCAGCTACACTTTTCAGATGTGGATATTAAACATCAGATGGGTTTAAATATGTTGTCAGCTGACATTCAGAGCTCTTACACTAGACAGCTAAATAAGGGCTTAGCCCAGCGTGTTTGCAAGTGCTGTGCTCATACAGAAATTCTGAAAGGGAAGTGATCTGAAGATGAATTGCTGCCCCCTACCCACTCCAGGGGACAGCTGGGATTCAGTCTTTGTAGGATGCTGAGTTGAAGCCTACCTCTGCTCTGAAATTTTACCTGCAGTAAAACTAGAAAGTTTCAGATCATTTTATTTTACTTTCAGTTTTTGAGTGTTCACCCATAAGACAATATAAAAAGGTTATGTATAATCTTAGCAGCAAGGTTATAAAATAGTACTAAAGCACATTTTATTGTGTTGACCAAAGATCACATTTTTTTAAAGCAAAAGATACTCTTTATTTCACTTGTTATAAGGCTACAAATATTGGAACATAGTTCTCAGTTGACAGGCACAGAGCTGCTTTGTTTTTCTGCAGATGCTGCTCTGCCATATCAAGAGCATTGTATTTTAAGTATATTTTAAGGTCAATATCTACGAGACCGAACGTGCAGATTTCTCACGTACACCCTTCAGCTTCCCAGCCCACACAGGATTCCAGAACTACTAACAGACATTTGTAGGTTTACCTTACTCTAGCATTGCCAAATTCCAGAACTCTTATTTGTATTTACTGCTCTGGTATTAAATAAATGGGATGTAAGATGGATGTATTAATGATTTTTGTTTTGTTTTCCTTTTACTCTGGTATAAAGCTACAGACTTTTGTCTTGACTGCTATAAAAGGGAAGCACGGTGCAGATCTGAAATTCAGACTGGAGGAGGTAAATCTGGGAATCAGCCTCTTGCGCTAAAGTGAACCTCTCGCTGTGTTTGCTGAGCACAAGGAAAAAGCCCTCACGTGCCTTTAAGCAGTGAAGAGAGCCTTTTAAAAAATGCTTTATCCTTTAAAAATTCATCAAAACAGCCAGAGAGAGGCCAACTAGTTTTGTTCATATTCCTGGGAATGTGGGCTTTCAGACAGATGGAACCTGTGGTTTAGCCCACAGACTTTTTGTCTGTATGGAGTAAGTGCTGGAACAGAGAGTAGCTGTGCTCACCTGAAAACCACCTGAAACAGCTGGATCATCTAGAAACAGGATGATTAAGACTTAAGCTTACTAAAACACCCAGCACAGACTAATTTGGTATTCTCAGCATTGGGATGTTACTTGTCTTTTATTGCTGATAAGTGCAGATGTACAAGAATGCAGAATTTTAAAGCAGATACACATTCTCCCATTCTAAATGTATTTTAAATAACTTATATAAATGAAGCCCTCTAAAAATACTTAGAAGGCTGATATATATATATATATATTTTGCTAAGTGTTCTCAGAGTTCTAACAGAAAAGACAATATATTAACTGGCATAGCCACACTGCAAACAAGAAATTAGCAAGAATCCTGCTTAGATAAACAGTAAATGATGTAAATGATGTGTGATGCTCAGCCTTGACAGTGACATCACCTGGAGCATATCAGGCTCATTGAGGAGTGTGGAAATGGAGCTATTTGTGTTGTCACATGTTGCTTCAGCACACATCCCCATCCTTTGAGATTGCTGTACAAGAATTAAAGGTTTCTTGCTGTCATGCCTAGAAGTCCTTGCTTATATGAACTTTCTAGTTTCCGAAGAACTTTGCCTGAGAAAGGCGCTCAGAATTGATGTTCTTTCTCCCTATCTTCAACTCGTTTTTACTTTGAAACTGACATAGAAGCAAAGAGATTCTGCTGGAATATAAAGGTAATAGCCCCTGGCTCTCAACTGCTGTCTCTCAGAGCACTTTCAGGGCTTTTTGAAGCTCTTTGTCACTATAGTTTTGAAGTAAATAATTTAGACTAACACCACCTCAGCTCCTTTTCCCACTGTCTTGTCTGTATGTATGAAACTCTTAGAAAATTCCACTGAAGTCATGTTCACAACAGGGCAGAGGGGAAAATGTCACAGGAAAACTTAGAGCATGACACTCCTGGAAAAAAGGAATAAATAAGTGCAGTATTGAGTAGGCCAACCAAATATGCTGTACTCTGAAGACAAAAGTAACTACCATAGGATTTTTTAGCCCATTGCTAGAAGCTGGTTTCTGAAGGGATGGAGAGGAGAACATTGAGGCATGTGGGGAGTGTTGATGCTTTTCCTTCTATCTGACTACACTGCTTTGAAGATGATACTTGAGGGTGTCTGATCCTGTCTCTCTCCATCTCTGAGGCAGAGAGAGGGATGGATGCTGGGGTCATTGGCTTGAATAGTTGTGATCCTTTCAGCAACAGCCAGACCCAAATCACTCAATGGTATTTTCAGAGCCTACACTAAAAAGAGGAATATGAGAACCACTCAAAGCAGAACTAAAGAAAGGTAAAGCACTTTGGAACATGTTACTTTTCCATCAGGATGCCTTTGGAACAGATGCTTTAGGCTAATGAGGTTTCATACATTGCTTATGGATAGAGGAACAAACACCAGTTCTGATTCAGCTGGAAAGCAATCCCTGCCTATGCACTCTGAAGCAAGAAATACATTTTAAAAATAAATAAAAAAGAGAGAGAGACTATTAGAACAATCTAGAGCAATATTAAAGTGTACATTAACACCCATGAAACCTCTACCTCCTGCCCATGGGAACACAGGCCTCTTAATATCCTTAATGTGCCCCTGGGGAATGAAAACAAGGGGAAGCTAAGTTTTGATGTGCTCTTCAGCCAGTTTGAAGAGCAAAGCTTTTGTTTACATGCCTAAAAGTGCACCTGGGGACCTGTCAACTTCTATTGGTTTAAAACTTTGGTTTGATATTTTCATAAAGAAGTTGTAAATGCCAAAGTCTTCTGTTGTGTTGATTTGGATTCTTCTCCCCCCAATAACTGATATTATGTGAGACAGGCAGACTATTCTGGGTAGAAAGTTATTTTTAAACAGGCATTACTCTTTTCCAGAAACAGACTGTAAATTTCTGTCTTCTTTTAATTGCTTTACAAAGTAAATTGAGCCCCTCTGGTTATATAATTAATATCCACATTTAGCCCTATATATTTGACATGACTTGAGCCATTTACTGCTACATTCATTTTTCAAGACTGGCTCTAGGAGTTCAGATAGGCATTTAATTACTGCTGAACTCTGGGAAATAGCCAAAGTTTTTCCAGGGAGGTGTTTTAGCAGTGAGAAATCCATATCACAAACAAGATAATTTGAAAAGAGTGATCTCTCTGAGCAGGTGTTTCTTCTTGTACACTCCTCTTCTCATATTAAACAGTAAAGTGTCACTATAACTATACTATGTAATGCATTGACATAAATAGAAAATAAATTTATTTATAAAATAAAACATAAAAGAAGCAGAAATTAAAACATCTGATCTTAAAATGGCAGGCATTGTGGTGAAGATTTTGTTTTTAATAAATACAACTTTTAAAACAGGCTTCACACAGGATTTTTGGGTGCAGTATGGGTTTCTCTTTCCTTTTTTCTTTTTTTTTTTAATTTTCATCTTTTTGGTTTTGTTTGGTTTAATTTTTTTTTTCCCCACCCAAACGATTTCTAGCTTTCCAGAAGAATTCCCTCCCAGCATAAACTTTATTTTAAAGATGCCGTGAGCTCCCTGAAAGTTCAACAAACTTTTGTGGCGTGCCTTCTAATAGTAACCCGCTGTGCGAGGCTGAGAATCCCGACACTTTTCCTGCTTCCAACATCTCCCTCTCGTGGCGTTTTCCCCACACTTCATCCCTCCTCGGTTGAAACATCCCTGTTAATGAATCCAAGAGCACCGATCACAAAGTACAGGTGAAACCCCTCCAGCCTTCCAACACTATAAAATTTTGCAATCTATTTTCCTGTGTTTAACAAGGTGAAATAGGCTTAACTGGACAGGGTTTATTAGTAAAACTCCTGGTCTTGGCGGGGTTTTTTCACGACTGACTTTGCTGGGCTCAGCTGTTTCACTGAAACAAAGTTCAGCTCTCTTGTCTAAGGAACTGAAAGGTTTCCCATTAACATCCCCTCCATGCATATGAATATCCTCAAGAAGGGCTCCAAAGCTTCTATCCTTTTTCCTGACACACCTGTTGGTCTGAGCACAGGTATGACTTCCACCTTGTCTTTCTACAGCTTCTTGAGGGCGCTATCCCCAGAGCATGGCAGAGAGACATGGCAGGGAGCAAAGCTAGAGTGTTTCTTCTCTTATCTGCAAGCTGTAGTACAGACACACTGCATCAACCTTGAAATAAGCAAGGTCAGTTCTTGAAAAGACCCCAAGTGTGGCAAGCACATTTGTCTCCCTCTTTTTCATAGATATTTTTTCATAGGATTTTTCATAGAGGTCCACAGAGAGAAATGAAGAAGAAAACAATTTCTATTTCTGCTCCTTGTTTTTCCCATGTGGAATGTGTTTGGAGAATTGTTTACCTGGGGTGAGTGCTTGATTGGATTCTGGTGAGGATTGTTTGAGCCTGATGGCCAATCCAACCCACCTGGGGCTGGACTCTGGCAAGAGGGTCACAAGTTGTGTTAGAGTCAGAGAAAGTAGTATGTAGTTTTAGTCTCTTCCTTTTTATATAGTATATTAATGTATTTTAGCCATAGTTATAATAAAGAAATCATTCAGCCTTCTGAATTGAGTCAGACATCATCATTTCTTCCCATTGGGTTCACCTGCATTTACAATACCCAAGGCTGGATTTGGCCAGCCCAAGACAGAGATCTGCTTCTAGATTCCCCCCTCGTCCATGTGCCTTTCTACCAAACACTTTACTTCATCGAGGTGATGCCTCAAATAATGTAGATGTGTCACCCTCCAAAAGGCATTAAAGTCTCCACCAACTCTAAGAGTAATTAGGGTTGGGGATCTCTGAAGTTAGGTGAGATGAATCATACTCCAAATACAGCCTCTTGGGACTCTTTGCTAGTTATTTTGTCCTTCATCTTCAGCACTACAGAGCCCATCTGTCCTACTTTACCAATTCAATTGAGTCCCTATGGTTAGACAATTAACATCTAACTTGGGATGACCACTGGGTCATTTAATGCTAAATTTATTTCATATGATTGATCAGAGTGACGGATTACATTTGATCCCTGCTGAACTTCACGAAACACCCTGAAATCCAACTGTCACAAGTTAAATTAATGGATGAACTGGAACTGAGGGTAAGTTAACTGGGTACTGCCACAGGCTGCTTCCAAGCTAGCTCATTAAAAACTAACTAGCAGACCTTGATGCTTCACTGCAGTCTGCAGCAAAGCCATATTTTAGAAGCTTGGCTATGGTAACTCCAAAAACGTAAGGTGAAGCAGAAAGTTGAATCGGGTCTCCCGACTTCCAAGCTCATGATTCAATTAATCCGTTGTTTTCTGACTTGGAAAATATGTTTCTACAATTGTGTGTGAGCAAAGCTATTAGCTCACTTTGTGACTTATTCTGATAACAATTACCAGCCATATGGGATGAACCAAGCTCATTATTTGCAAACAGACAGCATAAATCTCTGCACCACTTATACCTTTATTTGCTGTTGCTCATGTCCTTCTCTTTGCAACTGGAAGATCTGGCATCAAATGGCTCTAATTCACATTCTTTCATTAAACAGGGAGTTTAAGTCTACAACCAAGTTGTTCAGTGAGTTGTTTTCTTTAGGCCACTGAGGTGAGACCACAGTCACACCAGTTTCTGAACACATC